TCCCTTCATCCCCCCGGTTTGGGGCTCATCATGATTATGGGCTTCTTTTTCAGAAGATGCAAACCAACCGCGGTAGGTTTGCATCGATTTTGGCGCGAACGCCCGCCGGCGCCAAAATAGATGCAAACCAACCGCGGTAGGTTTGCATCTATTTTGGCGCGAACGCCCGCCGGCGCCGCCTTTCAGTCTCAGAGCCGCCGTACCCTGGCTGGAAGCCCGGCGAAGCCCAGCTGTGTGGGAAACCAAGAAGAAAGGGGAAGGGCACCTCGTCGCACCTCTTCGATGCCCCAAAAGGGAAAAACATACATCAAAGAGGCCGCCGCTCCCGAATTCTGAGCGCACGAATTCTTCTTACCGGTCGGAGCCGACTCTCTGGCCGGCTGCCAAAATGCTGCCTGGTCGGCCGCCGCTGAAGCGGGTGCGTCGTTTCCCCGACCCACGTGCCCCGGCCGCGGCCGGTGCCTCGGCGCACAGCGCCGCGGGCCGCTCGGGCCGCGCCGAGGACAGCGCCGACGCCCGCCGCTGCCGCTCGCCTGCGCAGCGCCGCCGCTGCCCTGCGGCACTGCCGCCCATCGCCCGGCCCTCACCGTGCCACCGCCCACTCGGATCGCGTCCGACGCCGCCCGCGCCTCTTCCCATAGGCGGGGTGAGCGGCCGGCGGTCGTTTCGCCGGCGGCTGCGGAGAGCGCGTGGCTGCTCCTCGATCCCGGCGAGGACAACGGATCGCCGCTGCGCGGCTGGACCGCGTCTTGCGACGCCGCATGCCGCCGGCTCAAGCCCGTCGATCTACGTGCGGTGCGGCTGCAGTCCGAAGGCGGCGGCGGCGGCGGCGGCGGCGGCGGCGGAGGCGGCGGCGGCGGCGGAGGCGGAGGCGGAGGCGGAGGCGGCGGCGAGCCTGGCAAGCGGGCGGCGGCGCCGCTGCTCGCGCGCGGATGGCCGTCCGACGGCGCGACGCTCGGCGGCACCGTTGCCGACTACGCGGAGATGCTCGATGCGCTCGACGACGCGCTCGACGTCTCCTCGCCGCTGCGCGCCGACCGGTCTCGATGCAGGTGTGCGCGCCTCTCCGACCGCGTAGCAGCAGCCCCCTCCGCTGCGTGGCCAGGAGGCGCGGCGGCATCCCCGCCCGACGGTCTTGTCCACCCCGCCGTGCGGCGTGCGTTGCGAGCAGGTTCTCGTCGCCGCAGCGGCCGACCGTTCGCAGCTTCTCCTCAAGGCTGAGGCCCTCGCCCCTAGATGCGGAGTATCTCCCCATCTCTCCCCGTATCTCCCACAGATCTCGAGGCCTAGATGCGGAGTATCTCCCCATCTCTCCCCGTATCTCCCCATATCTCGACGCGAGCGAGAATCTGCTCTCCGACCTAGAAGCGGAAGACGGACTCGTGTCTCCCAACTCGCGCCCGAGCGGACACGCATTCAGCCGCATTCGGGCGTGTTCCGTTGTGCGCACCGTACTCCTCTCCGTCGTACTCACGCGGTGCTCTGAACACACTGCACAAGACCGTATTCCCGCTCTGATGCTGCTGTATATTTACGCGTAGGCTCTCTGACTTGCCGGAGGCCCTCTGCCGCCTACGTCGGCTGCAGGAGCTGCTGCTCGCGATTAATTAATTAGCTAATCAATTAATTAATTAGTTAATTGGTCGGCTGCAGGAGCTGCTGCTCGCGTGCAACGAGCTTCGCTCGCTGCCGGCGTGGGTCGGTGCGTTGCCGCAGCTACACGTGCTCAGCCTGCAGCACAACCGGCTGCTGTGAACAGCGTCTCTTCACACCTCGAGCCGTGAACAGGTGCTCAACCTGCAGCACAACCGGCTGCTGTGAACAGCGTCTCTTCACACCTCGAGCCGTGAACAGGTGCTCAACCTGCAGCACAACCGGCTGCTGTGAACAGCGTCTCTTCACACCTCGAGCCGTGAACAGGTGCTCAACCTGCAGCACAACCGGCTGCTGTGAACAGCGTCTCTTCACACCTCGAGCCGTGAACAGGTGCTCAACCTGCAGCACAACCGGCTGCTGTGAACAGCGTCTCTTCACACCTCGAGCCGTGAACAGGTGCTCAACCTGCAGCACAACCGGCTGCTGTGAACAGCGTCTCTTCACACCTCGAGCCGTGAACAGGTGCTCAACCTGCAGCACAACCGGCTGCTGTGAACAGCGTCTCTTCACACCTCGAGCCGTGAACAGGTGCTCAACCTGCAGCACAACCGGCTGCTGTGAACAGCGTCTCTTCACACCTCGAGCCGTGAACAGGTGCTCAACCTGCAGCACAACCGGCTGCTGTGAACAGCGCCTCTTCACACCTCGAGCCGTGAACAGGTGCTCAACCTGCAGCACAACCGGCTGCTGTGAACAGCGTCTCTTCACACCTCGAGCCGTGAACAGGTGCTCAACCTGCAGCACAACCGGCTGCTGTGAACAGCGTCTCTTCACACCTCGAGCCGTGAACAGGTGCTCAACCTGCAGCACAACCGGCTGCTGTGAACAGCGTCTCTTCACACCTCGAGCCGTGAACAGGTGCTCAACCTGCAGCACAACCGGCTGCGGCGGCTCCCGGCGGCGGTGCTCCGCATCAGGGGGCTCCATTACCTGCGCTGGGGCGCGCAGAAGCCGTCGGGCGACGCCCCGGAGGAGGAGGAGGAGGCGGAGGAGGCGGAGGAGGAGGAGGAGGCGGAGGAGGCGGCAGGCGTAGCAGCGGCGGTGGAGGCGGAGGAGGCGGAGGAGGCGGCAGGCGTAGCAGCGGCGGCGGTGGAGGCGGAGGAGGCGGAGGAGGCGGAGGAGGCGGAGGAGGCGGCAGGCGTAGCAGCGGCGGTGGAGGCGGAGGAGGCGGAGGAGGCGGCAGGCGTAGCAGCGGCGGCGGTGGAGGCGGAGGAGGCGGAGGAGGCGGCAGGCGTAGCAGCGGCGGAGGAGGCGGAGGAGGCGGAGGAGGCGGCAGGCGTAGCAGCGGCGGTGGAGGCCGGCGCAGCGGAGGCGGCGGCGGCGGCGGCGGAAGCGGCGGTGGCAGTCGGTGATCAGGACGATGCTGCAGCGGACGCAGGAGCGGAGGAGGCAGCCGGCGCGGGCTTCGCATCGCCCAGCCTGACTGTGCTTGAGCTCGAGGCAAACGGCCAGACCGCGCTGCCACCGCTGCACCCGCGCGCGACGGTGCTCACGGCGCTCCTGGCCTCGTACAACCGGCTTGGTGCCGCCCCGCGGATGCCCGACCACCTAGAAGCGGAATACGGATTCTTGCCTCCCAACTAGCGCCCGAGAGGGCCACATATTCCGCTGTCCTCCTCTCCGTTGCATTCACGCGGTGCTCTGAAGACGCCGCACAATACCGTCTTCCCGCCCTGAGGCTGGCGTAAAGGCACGTTAGGCTAGCGCAGCATGGCCATTCGCTCAAGAAGCTCCACCTGGGCTGCAACGGCGTGACTTGCGTGGCGGAGGCGCTGCCCCCACCTCACCGCCTCTGCGGTGTGAACAGCGCCTCTTCACACCTCGAGCCGTGAACAGGTGCTCCCCCACCTCACGCGGCTCACCGAGCTCTGCCTCGAGGGCAACCGGCTCTCGGAGCTGCCCGCGGCGATTGGCCGGCTGGACAAGCTTCGCGAGCTGTGGCTGCACGGTAATCTCCGGTAATCTCGGGTAATCTCGGTAATCTCGGCTGGACAAGCTTCGCGAGCTGTGGCTGCACGGCGCGCGTCGCCTCTGGCCGCCCCTGACGCCGTCCCACGACGCCCCGCCGCGCCGTGCGCGTGCCAACTTGCCCCGCCCCTCCCCCCAACGCCCCTCCCGCCCCTCCGGCCGTCGGCCGTCCGCCACTCGCCGCCCAGACCGCCGCCTTGCATGCCGCCGCCTTGCATGCCGCCGCCCGCCATGCCGACAGCCGCCCCCATCCCTGCCCCACGCACGCCCACTGCGCGCCCTTCCCCCACTCCTCCCGCTCCTCCCTCCCGCTCGCACGCCCGGCTCGCACCGTGTGCCTCGGCCAATCTCGGCCAATCTCGGCCAATCTCGGGTAATCTCGGGTCATCTCGGGTGATCTCGGGGAATCTCGCACGCCCGGCTCACACCGTGTGCCGACTCAGGCAACTTGCTGACTTGCCTCCCCGCGGAGCTGGGTCAGTGCGCATCGCTCACCGTCCTCCAGGCGCACCGCAACCGCCTCGGGTAATCTCGGGTAATCTCGGGTAATCTCGGGTAATCTCGGGTGATCTCGGGTGATCTCGGGTCCTCCGTCCTCCAGGCGCACCACAACCGCCTCGCGGAGCTGCCCGCCGCCCTCGGCGCGCTCCGCCGGCTGCGAGTGTCTGGGAGGTGTCTAGGAGGTGTCGAGGAGGTCTCTGGGAAGTGTCTGATAGGCGCGCTCCCCCGGCTGCAGGGGCTCTACCTCCAGTCCAACAGGCTCGGAGGGTCGCTGGCCGCGCTGCGCCAGAGGGTGCTGCGTCACTTGCCGCTGCAGAACCTCGCCCTCGGCGCCAACGCCTTCGACCTCGCCGAGGCGTCAGAGCTGGCCTCTGAGCTGAGCGGCAGCGCAGCCCGCGCAGTCACCTCCTCCGGCCACTCCGGCGCGGCGCGGATCGGGTTCGGCTGGGACGTGTCGAGGAAGTGTCTAGGAAGTGTCTAGGAAGTGTCTCATAGGCGCGGCGCGGATCGGCCTCGGCTGGAACCGCGGGACGCCGCCTGCGGCGCTGCGCGACGTCCTCACCGACCGTCTCGCGACAACCGACCACTTCTTCGAGCCGATGGCGGCGGGCGTGCGAGGTGACGTCCTCCTCGTCGCCTTCTAGGAGCCTTCGAGGAACCTCGTAGGAGCCTTCGAGGAGCCTTCTAGGAACCTTCTAGGTGACGTCCTCCTCGTCGCCTTCGCCGCCCAGGGCCCCGGCATGCAACAGTGGGCCGCGCCGTGCGCCGCCGCGCGCGCAGCCGGCGTGGCCGTCGACGCGCTCTTCCTCGCCCGACCCGTCAACCTTCTAGGAACCTTCTAGGAACCTTCTAGCAACCTTCTAGGCCCTCTACCTCGCCGACCCGTCGAACTCGTACTACCTGCAGGACCCGGCCGGCGGGTGGGGCGGCTACTTCTAGGAACCTTCTAGGACCCTTCTAGGAACCTTCTAGGACCCGGCCGGCGGGTGGGGCGGCGTACGCTACTTTGAGCGGCTCATCCGAGCCCACACGGCCGGCTACGTGCGCGTCCTCCTCGTCGGCTCCTCGATGGGCGGCACCGCCGCGCTGCTGCACGCGCACCTCGGCCACCGCGCCGTCTCGTTTGGCGCGCGGGTGGACCTGCGCCTGACGTGTCCAGGAAGTGTCCAGGAAGTGTCTAGGAAGTGTCTCATAGGCCCGCGGGTGGACCTGGACCTGACGCACGGCGCGTGCGTGCCGGCCGAGCCCAGGCGCGCGTGCACCGCGCGCGTGCGACACGCCCTCGCGGTGATGCACGCGCGAGGCGGCCGTGCGGCCGTGCACGTCGGCGCGGGCAACGCCGTCGACATGATGCAGGCCCGGCTCGTCGCGCACGCGCCGGGGCTCGCCCTGCATGAGCACGACACCTTCCACCACAACGTGCCCATGTTCCTCGAGCGCGAGGGCCTGCTGGTGCCGCTGCTGAAGCGCGAGCTCCTCGCGCTGCTCCAGGGGTAGTCGTCGCCGCCGGACCACGCTGTAGTGTATGTCGCCGCCGCAAGTACAAGATAGTACGCAGGTAGGATAGCGCCCCTGTGGAACTGTAGACGGGGCCTCGTGTCGTGTGGCCCGAAATGTTTCGCCCATCCGCGGGAAAGCGGTAAGAGCTAGGGAGAGAGTTTACTTTAGCCCCCCGCCCAAGGCGAGTTTTTTGTACAGTGCGTTCACATTAAAGCCGTACGGTGAGCCATCTCGCCCCCCCCCCCCCCCTGGCTTGTGCAAAAAGAATACGCAGGCGTGGGGCTGGAGGGGGGGAGTCGGAGAGGGCCGTGCAGGACGCTGTTGGTTGGAAGTACACTGTCGCGTCGTCCTAGCACGGGGGGGTTTGAGGGGGAGTGCCCGTACCCGTGATGTGGACCGCTAGGTGTAACAGCAGCAACGTCAGTAACCTCGGCTCCTGCGCTCCTCGCCGCCTTTCCTGCTCACTGCCCCTGCGCCCACGCCTCGATCTTCTTGGGCAGCAGCTGGTCCGACGGGTCCTCTCCGTGGCCTAGGCAGCCGCTTTCGCCCTTGCCCCAGGTCAAGACGGCGCCATCGGCGGTGAGGGCGGTGCTGTGGCAGCCTCCAGCCGACACGGCGATGACGCGCTGGGTAGCAAAGGCCTCGACCTTCTTGGGCAGCAGCTGGTTCTGCTGGTCGCCATGGCCAAGCTGGCCAAGGCCTCCAGAGCCCCAGCTCCAGACGGCGCCCTCGGCGGTGAGGGCGAAGTTGTGGAAGTATCCCGCCGACACAGCGACGACGCGCTGCTCAGCAAAAGCCTCGACCTTCTTGGGCAGCAGCTGCTCCTGCTGGTCGCCGTGGCCCAGCCTGCCATGGTGACCATAGCCCCAGCTCCAGACAGCTCCATTGGCGGTGAGGGCGAGGCTGTGCGCGGTTCCAGCCGACACAGCGACGACGCGCTGGCCAGCCAACGCCTCGACCTTCTTCGGCAGCAGCTGGTTCTGCAGGTCGCCGTGGCCCAGCTGGCCCCCGCCTCCGCAGCCCCAGCTCCAGACGGCGCCGTCGGCGGTGAGGGCGAGGCTGTGGGCGATCCCAGCCGATACAGCGACGACGCGCTGGCCAGCAATGGCCTCGACCTTCTTCGGCAGCAGCTGGATCTGCTCGTCGCCGTGGCCCAACCGGCCATGGTGACCAAAGCCCCAGCTCCAGACGTCTCCGTCGCCGGTCAGGGCGAGGCTGTGCTCGCCTCCAGCCGAGACAGCGACGACGCGCTGGCCAGTCAAGGCCTCGATCTTCGTCGGCTGCCACTGATGCTCATGGTCGCCGTGGCCCAGCGCGCCCAAGCCTCCCTGGCCCCAGCTCCAAATGGTGCCGCTGCTGGTGAGGGCGAGACTGTGGTATCCTCCAGCCGACACGCTCACGGCGCGCTCGCCTCGCAGCGGGGAAGGGAGGCGGGTCGGCGTGTTGAGCCGCATCACGCCCTCGCCGTGGCCAAGGAGGCCTGGGGCGTGATTCGGCGCATTGCCGCACGACGAGAGCCGCCCCTCGCCATCGATGAAGACGCTGTGCTGACAGCCTGCCGCCGCCCTCGCCGGCGGGTTGGACTCGCACAGCAGCGCAGAATAGCACAGCCACCGCACGGCGCAGCTCTCGCCCTCTGGCAGCGCCGGCAGCTCGAAGCCGCGCTCTTGCGCCCGCAAGCGGATGCCCTCCAGCGCAAGCGAGGCGTGGAAGAGCAGCGAGACGGCTGCGACGCGAGCGATGTCGGCGGGATCGCAGTGAGAGAGGGCGCGGACGAGGAGCTCCCTGGGGAGGTCGAGGAGGCGGGCGGGCGGCGGCGTGTCTGGCGAGGGAGCGGCGGCGGAGGCGGGGGCGAGGCGGCGCGAGCGGCGGCGCGGCGGGGTGGACATCGCGAAGAAAAGAAATCGCCGCCGCTTCAGTGAAGCGGGTGGAATCAACGGCGCGTCATCCCAAACTAGTTGTCTTCTAGCAAAACCTCCGCGGCCCGGCGCAGCCGCTCCTGTCACCTGTGCTCTCCCTCACATCATCGCCTGAGCAGAGGCACGGGCGAACAAACACAAAGTGAGTGTTAGAGTTGTTTGGTATTGCTAAAAATCTCTCTCTCGGGCGAAGGGACATCGCGATAAAAAGAATTCTTAAGATAAAGCCTCTCTCGCGATAAAAAGAATGGGTAGACGGCATCCGCGATGGGGTATGATGCAACCGGGCGTACGGGGTAGTCGTCACCAAAAAAACTGTGCAGGCCGCCGCCCCTGCCGCCGCCACCGCCGACGCCGCCACCGCGGCAGCGCCGAGGTCGATGCCGCGCGCCAGCTGCGGGCAGAGGCGAGCAATAGGCTCCCAGCAGAGGCACCACGAGCCGACGACCGCCGCGTCGGTGATGGCCGACATGGAAGTGAGGCCGGCGCCGCCGAGCTTGACTGGCAGCCGCGCCTGCTGCAGCGCCGCCCTGCGCTGCGCCGTCGAGCTCAGGCGCCCCGCCGTGAACTTGTCGAACGCCTCGCCGATGAGCCGATCGTGCAGCCGTGCCGCCTCCCGCGTCGCCTCCTCCGGCATAGTGCGGAGGAAGTAGTTGAGGGAGGCGTTTGCGCAAAAGCGATTGAGCGTCATTTGGATCTGGAGCGCGAGGTTGCACCGCCGCGTGTCGTGGAGGCCGCACACGCCCTCCCGCCCCGCCAGCGGCGCCAGCGCACGGCGCACCCGCTCGACGAGGCGGCGCGAGGCCTCAGCGGCGTCGCCCAGGAAGGTCCCGAGCACCTTGATGACGAGCAGGCGCCCGTCGGCGTGGTGGGGCGAGCCGCGAACCGCCGCCGGCAGGAAGGAGAGGTCGCCCGTCGGCGAGTAGACCTCCTGCTTCTTCCGGTTGGACGTGACGCCGCACAAGTCGTCGGTGGCGTCCACGCCCGCCGCAGCCGCAGCGCAGGCCGCCGTCGGCGAGACGTCCAGGCAGTAGGTGTCGTCCAAATACGCGAGGCAAATCGAGTACATTTCTTTATTCAGCCGCCGTGTGCCGCGGCCAAAAATGGGCTGCACTCCCAGCAAGGTGGTGGCCGCCGAGCCGCCGCCGCGCGATGGCCTGCCGGGACCGACTGGCGCACCGCGAAACACGTCGTTCGCGGCTCACGGCCGCTGGCCGGATCGCTTTGCACATGAGAGAGCCAAGATTTGCATTGTCGGTGCTGGCGCATGCGGACTGCTCATGGCACGGAAGCTGCAGAAAATGGGCTACCAGCACGTGCACGTGTACGAGCAGGCCGGCCGCGTGGGCGGCTACGCAACCACAATCGAGGTGGACGGACGCTACTTCGACGTCGCCACCAAGTACATTCCGACCGCGACCGCGCACGGCAAGGGCGCAATCCCGCCCTTTCAGGAGATCATGGACGAGTACCAAGCGAAGCACGGGTTTACGTACGAGAAAACGCCAGGCATCGGGTTCTACTCGTCCGAGGAGAAGGCCCCCTTGACGCTCCCGCCTCAGCTCGAGAAATTCTCCCCGTTGCAGATCGTGCAAGAGCTGATTGCTGGCTTCGACATGGTCTTCAAGCTCTATCACTCGGTGGGTGTCGGCTCAGTGATCGAGGACGGCATCGCACTTCCCGGTGAGACGTGCGAGGAGTGGGCAAAGCGGAACAACTTGGAGGCCTTTGGCATCGTATGTGCGCTCATCCAGGACGCCTTTGGCGCCGGGCCTACCCTCGACGGCTCGGCAGCGTGGCACATGTCATACCGTGAGCACTACATCGTCGCCGGCATCTACAAGGTGCTCCACGGCGCTCTGAATGCCGGCGGCCTGAAAGGGCTGGGGGTGCAGCTCATCACCATGGTCAAGGCGCACCCCGTGCTCAAAGAGCTGCTGGACGAGCAGCTGGACGACTACGTCGTCTTCACCAAGGGCTTTGAGAACTTCTGGAAGCTGATGCATCAGGTCGAGCAGATCAACGTCAGCCTCAATACGGCCGTCACATCGATCGCGCCCGCCGTCGACGGACGTGTGCAGGTGGCGTCCGACAGGGACGGCACGGAAGCCGCCTCGGAGCTGTACGACACGGTCATCGTCACGACGCCGCCAAAGGTGTACGACCGCTTCTTACCGACGGGCCACCCGATGTTGCAGCTCGCTCGCGAGTGCGCGAACGACCAGGGCATCGAGGTGTGGCTGGTACGCGTGGGCAAGTCGTGGGACGCTGCGCGCTTTGGCACGGACGCGGCGGCCTTCATCCTGACCGGGCAGGGGAAACACCTGGCGACCCATGACATGCCGCGCAATGGGAAAGTGTACGCACTTAGCAAGGCGTACGCAGACTCAGACGTGGTGTGCGCGCTAGCGTACAAGGACCCAGCGCTACCTGCGCTGCCCGATGCGCGTGAGGCCAAGGAGAATGTTCTCATCGAGTCGATGCGCACGGATGCGGACCTCGAGGTCACGACGGTGATTGGTGTGTGGGACTTTGCTGTGTGGCCGACGCAGGTGCCCGCTGCCGCTGAAAAGGCTGGCTGGTACACCAAAGTGAAGGAGCTCCAGGGCAAGGACGGCATCTTCTTCCTGGGCGAGCATCTGTTCTCTGCGGGAGTGCAGAGCCCGGCCGACTGCGTCCCTGAGTTTTGCGAGGCGCACTTTTGATTTAGTGACGGTCTGACAACGGCAGCGGTGGCAGCGGCGGCAGCGGCGTGCAAGGAGCGCTGCGAGGGGGCGCGCGCCCAACGCGCGCGTGACGCCGGCCCCGACTCTCTGCGCCGCAATAGCGGCAGAGCCATGCGAAGAGTACGTTCGATAGAACCGTTGGCAAGAGCGATCGCCAAATGTCGTACCGAGTCACTGTGGGATGTGGGAGCTACGTACGATCAGTGGTTTGGCCTTAGTACAGGCAGCGTGACATCCTACTTTCGTACTTGCCGTTTTGAGTATTTGCGGCCCGGACCGCGACCGAGTATTTGGCGCCAAAAAGCGGTTAGTGGTGCACTAACCCCGAGGAAACCCTTCGCGTCACTCCGCATCGCAAACCCTGTATATATGGGACAAAAGCGTTCGGGGAAAAATGAAAAGGGTGGAAAATGTCCCAAAAAGCGTGTCTCGAGTTTGTGGCAGCCCCACAGCCGGCGCGCGCTGCCAGGAAGCACCGCTCGCGTGTCGGCCGCACTCCCTGGCACCCAGTGAGTGCGGCCGACCGACCAGACCGAATAGGCTCGACGCCGCGCTCGCTGTGGGGCTGCCACAAACTCGCCACCGAGCGTGCCACCGAAGGCGTCCCGGCGGAGGTGATGGAGTTTGAGACCTGAGGCTGCGGAGGTGACGCCTGAGGTACCGGCCCGTGCACAGCGACTCAGCCGGCGACCGCCACGGGCTCAGACGAGACTTGTCGACGCGTTCCGGCTCAGCTTCACCGTGGTCATCGGGCGTCTGTCGACGTCACGAGGACCACCCATGCAGCTCGCGGGTTTGAGGTCGCAAGAGCCAAGATGGTGGCGTTTGGACATCCCAGCCATCACACAAGACAGCCTGCAGGTGATGGCGGGACGGCGCAGTGTTTGTGGCACTCGGCAGTAGGCACCCGCGGCACGGCCCCGCTGTCGGCTCTCGCGGGCTGCGGAACCGGCCCTAGAAGGGGACGGTCCGGGCGAGTGTGGCAGGTCCTGCGCTAGTATGGGCACCCTCTATCACAACATTACTGATCCTGGTCATCAGAGCTGCCAGGGGCAGCGTCAGGAGCCGGTAGGAGTCAATCCCCTCATATTTGAGTATTGAGACACATGGACAGGCGATGCCGCGTCCACCCCCGTGACTGTGACTGTTGTGTCTGCCGGTACTACGTGAGCCCCGCGGGTGTAAGGTAAGGTAAGGTAAACTTCCCCGGTGCGCGTGTCGGTACGCCTCTACAACCAAGAGCCTCTTCGAACTCGGCAAGAACCAACGCAGCCTCACATGATCTCAACATCCTTTCCCGCCTCCACACACCACACCACAGCGGCCGTGGCCTCCTCTCCGCCGCCGCCGCCGCGCTTCCGCCACCACCGCTGCCGCGCCCACCGTCGGGCTCGCCCCACCGTGACACCGAACCGAATCCTCTCCTCGTTGAGAGCGCCGCGAGAAGCCTGAGCATCCCCTCCTTGTCCAACTGCGCAGGCTTCTCACTGCCCCGGCGCCCACGTCTCGATCTTCTTTGGCAGCAGCTGGTTCGACAGGTCCTCTCCGTGGCCTAGGCCGCCGTGGCGGCCCTGGCCCCAGGTAAAGACAGCGCCGTCGGCGGCGAGGGCGAGGCTGTGGCGGACCCCAGCCGACACAGCGACGACGCGCTGGCCTGCAAAGGCCTCGACCTTCTTGGGCAGCAGCTGGCGCTGCTCGTCGCCGTGGGCCAATATGCCGCCGGTTCCAAAGCCCCAGCTCCAGACGGCACCGCCGGTGGTGAGGGCGAGGCTGTGCAGGCTCCCAGCCGACACGGCGACGACGCGCTGGCCAGTCAAGGCCTCGACCTTCTTCGGCAGCAGCTGGAGCTGCTGGTCGCCGTGGCCCAGCTGGCCTGAGGCTCCCCGGCCCCAGCTCCAGACGGCGCCGTCGGCGGTGAGGGCGAGGCTGTATTCGCCTCCAGCCGACACAGCGACGACGCGCTGGCCCGCCAAGGCCTCGATCTTCTTGGGCAGCAGCTGGTTCTGCTGGTCGCCGTGTCCTAGCTGGCCGTAGTCTCCATCGCCCCAGCTCCAGAGGGCGCCGTCCGCGGTGAGGGCGAGGCTGTGTTCGCGTCCTGCCGACACGGCGACGACGCGCTGGTCAGCCAAGGCCTCGAGCTTCGTGGGCAGCAGCTGCTGCTGCTGGTCGCCGTGGCCCAGCTGGCCATAGCATCCCTCGCCCCAGCTCCAGACGGCGCCCTCGGCGGTGAGGGCGAGGCTGTGCTGGCCTCCAGCAGACACGGCGATGACGCTCTGGCCAGTCAAGGCCTCGACCTTCTTCGGCAGCAGCTGGTCCTGCTGGTCGCCGTGGCCCAGCGCGCCCAAGCCTCCCTGGCCCCAGCTCCAAATGGTGCCGCTGCTGGTGAGGGCGAGACTGTTGTATCCTCCAGCCGACACGCTCACGGCGCGCTCGCCGCCCAGCGTGGAGGGGAGGCGGGTCGGCGTGTTGAGCCGCGTCACACCCTCGCCGTGGCCGAGTAGCCCTGGGTTGAAGGACGGCGCTAAGCCGCACGACGAGAGCCGCCCCTCGCCGTCAATGAAGACGCTGTGATCCCAGCCTGCCGCCGCCCTCGCCGGCGGGTTGGACTCGTGCAGCAGCGCAGCGAAGCACAGCCACCGCACGGCGCAGCTCTCGCCCTCTGGCAGCGCCGGCAGCTCGAAGTCGCGCTCTTGCGCCCACAAGCGGATGCCCTCCAAAGCGAGAGAGGCGTGGAAGAGCAGCGAGACGGCTGCGGCGCGAGCGATGTCGGCGGGGTCGCAGCGAGAGAGGGCGCGCACGAGGAGCTCCGTGGGGAGGTCGAGCAGGCGGGCGGGCGGCGGCGTGCTCGGCGAGGGAGCGGCGGTGGAGGCGGTGGCGAGGCGGCGCGAGCGGCGGCGCGGCGGGGTGGACATCGCGAGGAAAAGAATTTTACTATACAAGCCCCTCTCACAGCAGACTGGCTCGGACTGGCACTACAAATGGCACAGCAGGCGACGGCCCCTTACGGGTCGTCAAAGAGGCCGGCGTACTCCTCCGGCCGCTCCTCCCCCTCCCAATCCTCCCCGGGCTCTGGCTCCTCCTCCTTCGCCCGCGCCCTCGCCCCCCGCCGGCGGCGATTCCGTGCGGCCGTCGCCCCCTCCCCCTCCCCGCCCCCATCACGGCCGGAGCCGTACCACCCAGCGCGCACGAGGAACGAGGACTGAGCCTCGACCTCGTCCAACCTCACCGCCCTCACGGCGGCGTCGCACGCCTCAGCCCGCGAAGCGCCAGCAGCATGCGCCGCGGCGTACGCCGCGTCGCCTACCGCCTGCCTCGCGAGAGACGCGGCGCGCCACTCGTCCTCCAGCGCCGCCGAGCCCCACACAGGGTCTCCCGCAGACCGGTCCGAGTCGCCATCCGAGCTTAGCTCGCCCTCGCCCTCGCCCTCGCCTCGCGCCTCGCCGCTCCCATCCTGCGGCTGCGCCACGCCCCGCGCCTCGCAGCAGCCCCATCCTCGGCAGAGCCCGCCGCACATGCCATGCGCGACGTATGCCTGGCGCAGGCCAGGCACCTCCCACCGATCGTCAGTGGTGGCGAGATAGGGCGCCGCGCAGCGGCCTGCGTACTGGCCCGCCATCCCGGGCCGCCCGCAGAGGCAGCACGGCTCGACGACGCCGAGCCACTGCTCGACGTTGAGCTGCGCCCAATGCGCCCGCCACCACGCCGCCCCGCCGCGGCGCCGCCAGCTTTCATGTTCCGGATGGTCGGCACTAGGAGAAGAAGAAACCTGAGCGCCTGCTGCGCGCGACTCGAGGTCGAGCGGCTCAATGCGGGCGGTCATGGAGGCCTCACCTTCGAAAAGGGAGGCTATGTGGACCTCTCGGGAACAATCGGGCGACACGGCGCCGCTCTCCTCCCCCTCCGCCGGCGCCGCGCCGCCGGGGAATTCCCCCTCCATTGGGTCTGACCCAATGGTCAGACCCGCCTCCGCGGCCTGCGCCCCCGCAGGCGCCGCGCTCCGCGCGCAGGGTGCGGTCGCCGCTGCGGCCTCCGCCGCCAGCCGCCGCCCCTCCTCGCCGTCCACCACCGCCGCGCTCGTACCAGCGCGGGCGGCGGGGAGGCGGGGTCCAAACTGCTCCTCAGAAGAAGAAGCAGCAGCTGCTGCTGCCTCCTCCTCGCCGGAGGTGTAGCCCTCGCCGCCCTCGGCGCCGAGGCCGCGCGCGCCTCCAGCGGCCGCGCTGCCGAGGAAAAGAAAAAGAAGCGGCAAATAAGAATTTACAACAAAACTCCCTCGCACAACACTGGGCACGGGACTGGACACAGGTACACCACTGGAGCCGCCTAAGCGACTCCCGCGAGGACGGCGAGGCACTTAGCTCCGTGCACTCGACCGCCCTCGCCGCTGGCAAGCTCATTCACAATCTGCTCTGCGATATTGCCGTGTGAAGAACGACTGAGATGCGCTGCTTCTGCAGCCCCAGCCAGCTCTTGGTGGTCCAAGTCACCTCATCGAGGTACTCGGGGCCCGCGTCAGCTTGTTCTGCAGCACGTTGTGCGAGAAAAAGAATTTTACAATTGTGCGAGAAAAAGAATTTTACAACACTGGGAAAAGGAATTTTACAAAGAACTCCCTCGCACAACACTGGGCACGGGACTGGCGCGCACTGGGGGGGCTCTGCCAACAAGATAGCTACATCTTCACGGATGATGAGCCGCCTTCTTCTTCTTTTTTGGCTCCACGACCACATGCTGGGAGTTCAAGTGCTACACTCCGTTCCTCCCCTCCGGCGCGAAGGGCAACGGCTCTGCCCGCTGCGGAGGCGCCTCCCGCGCCGATGGGCACTTCATCGCGCTTGGCAACACCGAGGAGCACCTCTCCGTCGTCGTCCTTGGTCACCCCCAACGGGGTGACCCGGCCACGGAGGAGCAACTGGACCGTGTCAGCGGCGACGGATGGGTGGCAGCGAAGGACGGTGATTACGCTGACGCCCTCTCCAAGGGCCACACGGTCATCCTGACCGAGTCGACCGGAGCATTCTCCGCCGACCTCGATCGCGTCCTCCGCCAACTTGCGAACCCAATGTCAGAGAGATCCTGCTGAACAAGCTCCTCTTGTAGCTCGATCGGTCACAACCGCCACCACCGACGACATCTCCGCGGAGATGATGGAGAGGGGGGACGACACCGCCCGATCTACCCTCCGAGGTCCCTCGGCGGCGTGCACCTCGATCCTGGACCGTGTTTGTTATGACCCCCCCCCATGAGCACACCAGCGAGGGAGGGTGAGACGATCGAGGGGTCCCGTACCATGCGGAATCGACCCTATCCAGTGCTCAAGTGCTCAAGGACCGCACGCGCCAGTGGGTCCATTGACCACACGCCGTATGGCACCTCCCGCGCGTCCACCCGCTCGCACTACACCTTTCACTCCGCCGCCATCTCCGCCGCCATCGTCACCGCCGACGCCCTCACCATTCAGAACTCGGCCGCCGCCCTCGGCTTCGATCGAGCTCACCCTCGACCCTCGCGATCTCGCCCGGCGCTCGTCGGGTCGGCCGCCATCGCGGTCGGCGCCGCCACCTCCTTCCGCCCCCCCCCCCGGGGCCACCGCCGCGCGGCCGCCGACGCGACCGACCCCACCCCCCTTTCCCGACCCCACCCTAAATCCCTATAATGCCCCCTACAGAATGCCCCCCCCCCCCCCCGCAGCGAGGCCCGCGCCGCGCGCGGCGCCACCACCGACTCTACCTCCGACCCCAGGGCCTAGGTAGGCCATGAAATCTAGCCGTGTGTGCTGGCGTCCGGGTCCCAGCGGGTTTTCACGTGACAAGTACACACGGGGTTACACCAATCCTCGCTACCCAACGCGGCCAAAGGATATCCACCTCGAGAACCTCGAGAACACGGGGTTAGGGGGGGGCACCCTTCCCTCCCACGGGAGGGGGAAGGCTGGGGGTGATTTCTCAGATTTTTCCCGCAACCTCCTTCCCCGATAGAGGACTCCTCCCTGAGTCGGCGGATCGAATTTCCACGCGAATTCCCCTCGGGCATCGCTGTGAATGAGCATTCGCAGGCCAGGCCACAGGTGCCAGCGGCACTGGAGAGCTCTCGCTCCCTTCCTCGCCGCCACGCCGACTGGCGGCTCGTCGCGGGCGGCCAGGTGATCGGCTAGAGCCCAGACGTCGGGCTTGGCCTCCGTCGCCGTTCAGATGGACGGCTGTTGGTGGTGCGGGACCACGAACTGGGCGGTGAGGCGGTGAGGCGGTCAACGGGCTGCCCGCCGTGGCTCTAGAGCGAGGAGAAGCGCTCGGGCCGGCGTCTCCGGCGTCGACGTGCATCCATAGGGACTGCGCGGCGGCGGTACGCAAGAAAGCTTCTGCGCTCGCTGCTGAGGAGCTTGCTGCTCCGCCGGCAAGAAGCACGCGCTCCGCTGTCGAGACTGCGCGTCCCGACAGCAAGCGCCCCGCTGTCGGCGGCTGGGCGACGGAGTGTGGGGTTGATACGGCGGTGATACACCCCCCTGACAGCAGCGCCTCGCGGTGTGGGCTGCGAGGTCACTCGAGGTGACCCAGGGGGCGGCGGGGAGCACTCTCCCGCCGGAGCAGCGGGTGATATTCCCGCTACTCGCTCGAGTTTGAGGTGCGCCGCGCCTCGCCTGTGCTGCCTTCCCGGCTG